CCTCATCTTGCCAACATTACTCATGGGCAACATGGCAATTCTTCTTACTCTCCTGCCCCTTGCAGCTCCCCATCTCCTCCAGGGTTTTCCCCCAACCCTCTAAAGCAGAATTTGGATGTTTGCAGGAGGCTGCAGGGAGAAGGGGAATCTGTTCCACGAATGGATATATATACACAGTATCAGGGCCGGCAATGGTGGACAATGAGTTCCTTGGAGTCTGGACCTGCCACCCCTGTGGATCCTGCTGCCTGAGGCACCTTGCCTCATGGGCAGACCAGCTCAGCACAATATACTACATGTTTACTTCCCCTTCACCCCTGGGCATGGAGAAGATAGGGAGGTTACAAGAGTCAGCCAAATGACACATGAATGTGTAAGAATATTCATCCAGAGCACACATCACCACAATGAATAAATAGAGCATGCACTCATAAAGGCCATGTTATGTCACACCACATATAAGGTATCTGAAGAAGGGTGCATGCACACGAAAGCTTATACCCAGAACAAACTTAGTTCGTGTCTAAGGTGCTACTGGACAATTTTTTAATTTTTTCACGTATGAGCTATTACTGAGCTAGTGAGCATCTGAACAAACCTCTATTGTGCAAAGCACTCTCTCTAGCCTACTCTGTCTTCCCTGAAGCGCCCACCCCTGGCATTTACATTATAAGGAAATTAATGGGTTAATAATTTTTCTACTAACATGTACGGTAGTTCTGCCCTGAATTACATACAACAGGTCATCTCTTTTTAGTAATTCACAATGCACATTTGTTAAATTTTATGCACAAATATTGCTGCATCCTGAAATGATGTCTACACTCTTTTCCTGAAGATTTTCTCATTACTATATAGGAAGAAGAGGGTTGTTTTACCTGTACAATAGGTTCATGGAGCCAAAGTCGAATGAGAGTTGCTAGGGTATAGTATAACAGGAGCACCAAGATGGGACTAGTATGGTGATACCAAAACAACTTTTGGTTAGTTATAATTTTCCAAGTGCTTGAACAGTTGGTCTGAATAACTGAAGTGACACCAAATAATCTGTTGAAATGATAAACAGAAGGCATCACATAAACAATACAGATTATCATTATCAAGACATTTTGACAGTCTGAATTCATGGCTTCATATTCAGTCAATACAAAGTCCCTACAACTGTATCAGGAATTTGGATTAGCAAATTATTCTGGCTATTGCCTTTGGTAACTGAGACCTCATTCAACTTCTACATTTTTGTGTGTGAATATAATTAAGCATGAAGATATTACCTGCTTTGTCTTTTTTTCTTGGGAAACATTTCTCTTTAGTTTCATTGTTTAAAACTTTGTTTTATTTGGTGGACTAAAGAAACTAGAGTTTGCCAACCTACTAAGAGATGCCTCTGAGAAATTTTACCAATTCTAGTCTCAAATAGATTTAAATCACTGGTGCCTATGTGCAAGCTGTTTTGATGGGTATGTAGTGATGCAAAGCTGTTGCATATAACAGCTCGTCCACACCTTACAATTAAAGCACATCCAATGCAGATTTAAAACCCATGACTTCCTACAAAGAACCCTCTAAACCAGCCTTCCTCAACCTCGGCCCTCCAGATGTTTTTGGCCTACAACTCCCATGATCCCTAGCTAGCAGGGCCAGTGGTCAGGGATGATGGGAATTGTAGTCTCAAAACATCTGGAGGGCCGAGGTTGAGGAAGCCTGCTCTAAACAGTAGTCTTGCCTCCCACAGAGCCACAATTCCCAGCACTATTAACAAGCTGTACTTGCCACCATTCTTTGGAGAAGTCATGTGCTTTAAACGTGTGTTGGATATGCTTTAACTGTATGGTGAGCCTCTGCCCTCAGTCGTGGGCATAAGTTATTACTAGCTGCCCTCTGATCCAGTAGGTTCATGCCTATGAGAGATTCAATGACGATGCACAGCCACCATATAACCAGCTGGCTTCTGCAGTCACTTCGGTGTTGGCGTGCCCTATGTATGTTCATGCAGCTGCATTAAACTTTTGAAAGAGTTTCTCAATAAGATGGCTGCTTGCAGGACCCAATCAAGACCTCCTGCTCTTCCCCAATTAGTTTGTGCGTGTGATTATCTCTGTAAGTTTGCAGAAAAGGAAAAGCTTTGTGTTTTCCAAGGGTAAATGAATATTCATAACCAATCTACAGAGCGGCCATAACATGAGTATTTCAGGTTATACAAGCCACGAATAACTTTATTACTGTTCTGAGGAACATTAAACAAACATCAAACTGGAAAATAGTAAAAACTAAACAAAAAAACAGGTGGCTGACACATTGTTGCTCTGTCAATTCATTTCCCCAGCAAAAGCTTACTGAATTAATGCAATCATGTCTCTGGTGTATATGTGCTGTGATCTGCTCTTCCTGACACATTCACAGCCTATGACCTTGATAAATGCAAGATACTGATTTAGCATTAAAGTGCATAATGATGTAAGAGTGGAAATATTGCTGTTCTCTAAAAAAACAGGAAAATGTTTTCCTTCTATTTCCACCTACAGCAGAGTAGCCAACTGTGGATATAGCTATCATCGCAGAGACCAGACTACTTTAAGATGGGTTCATCTGAAAATGGAGGCATGCACCCTACTTTTGCTAATATTCATGTCTCCTTGCAGGTTCCATTCCCAAAAAAGTCTTAAACTGGAGAGAGAAGAGGTGGCGGGGGATAACAGGCAGAAAAGAAGGCTTACTCCCACACATGATATGCATTTGTGGGTCTCACCTTAGCTGTGGCTTATTGGCAGAGGGCCGTCTACAGGAATGTGGATTTCAGCAGGTGCCCACCTGTACCAACTCCACACACCAATTTTTATTTATTTATTTTTTATAGCTGCTTCTGCTGTCTTATTCTTGTAGTGTATAATTACTGTTTGATTGTACAGCCTAGAATTTACCATAAATGTTAATTAAAGGTTCACATAGAAATCTTATTTAAAAGCTACAGACAACAACTATCATTTGCAGATTGGGGGGAACCAGCTTTGGGATGACATGTATCAATGCTAAGCATACTTTCTATCTTAACCAAGAGGTTGAAGATTTGCAAAACCTGGTCAAGAATAATCTAGTTAGTACTGCCACATTTCTTCCCATATAACACCTGCTATGTATCCTCTATGTCAAATACTCAAATGCAATAATTATAAACATTTTAATAAGAAATGGTGACACTGAAAAAAGAAATTATTAACAGTTCTAATACATGAAAAGCAGCACAGCTTTACTTCAAGAAGATGCATTCAATTTTCAGTTTTCTAAATTTGTGCAAGCACTTCTGACACCTGGATTGTATGCTTTCTAAATGACATCGTATGTTTCAGGTACTGTATATAAATATATCTGTAATGTAAGTATGCAAAAGATTTCACACACATACATAGGTTATTACGTCAATATATACAGAACAATCCTGTAAGGCAATGTCAATATAATTCTCTTATTTACTATTGATACATTTCTTTCATCAGACTTTATCTTCACAAAACAGAATGACTGTCTCCATACGCAAACATCCATCACAAGTCACTTGAGTACGTTATTACTTAATGACTAACGAACCATAAGGGCAGTGGCAACTAAAAACGATCTAAACTCTATGTGCACATCTACATGCGCCCCATTGTATTTTAAAGTTAGAGAGGCCAATGAACACATATCTTATTTTAATGAACTGACTTTTGCACAACTTCAAAAAGCTTTTACAGAGCTACGACTAAATACAATAAGCTCTGCTTATAGAGATGGCAGGCACAGAGGCATTACCAAAAAACGAACGTGTTTGCATTAGGGGATGTTCTGAAGTAGAGGACCTTATGCATTATATCTTGCACTGTATATAATGATGCAGGAAAAGGATTTTTAGTACCTATAATGACAGGGTCCCCTGGCCAGAACCCCTTTGACATGATTTTATATCTCCTTGCAGACACAGATAAGTATGTGACCTGGCGTGTAGCACTTTTTGCAACTGCTGCTAGGAAAATTAGAGCAACTTATATAGCCAAGGTAGCCATTAACTGTAAAGGAGATGAATTTATTTGAACCTACCTACCTACCTACCTCAGGCTATGCTCTATCTTTGTCACCAAACTCTGAGTATAAATTGCACACTGTATTATTTGATATTGTTTTTAACATTAGTGACCATGTGATGATTTTAGCTTATGAATTTTATTGTTTAATGTTTTTATTTGCACATTGGGGTACTTTTATAGCTCTGTTTAGAGTATGTAATGTTTTAATAATATAAATGTTTTAAGTCTTTTTATCAATTCAGTATATTTTCTTTTAATTGTCAAATAATTCTGTGTACATTGCGGCAGCCTTTGACTATGTGCAATAAAACTGACTGAGACTGTTACTTAATGACTGAGGTCATCCAATGTTGTTAGCCATTATGCTCTGACAAGTATCACCACTTTCCACAAATAAAAAGCCACAAACTCTAAATCCCCATGACATTGTATGGATACAATGTTTATCTATGAGAAAAAATGCATTTTGTTATAAAACATATGCAACGTCATAACTGCATTTGTCCACAAAAGCTGGAATCCAGTTAACCATAATTAAACAGCAGCCATCTAGAAACCTCTACTGACTTTCTTCTACATTACATACTAAGCAACACATACCCACAGGTTACAAAAACCCCTAAGTTAGGGTGTGTACAAGGTTTTCTTCAATCACTTGTGAAATCACTGCCATAACTAAAAGAGTTCTTGCTCGCTGTGACAGTGCTTGTACTTTAAAAATCAAAAGTGCTATCCCTCTTGTAACTATAGTGCAGGCATCCCCAAACTCGGCCCTCCAGATGTTTTGGGGCTATAATTCTCATCATCCCTGACCATTGGTCCTGTTAGCTAGGGATGATGGGAGTTGTAGTCTCAAATCTGGAGAGCAGAGTTTGGGGATGCCTGCTATAATGTATATAGTAACACTATAGAAATACACTGTTACAGTCAAGAAAATACTGTGTGTGTGTGTGTGTGTGTGTGTGTGTGCGCGCGCGCACACACACACACACACACACACAGTTACTTTTGTTTTAATATCATGTTTTTTATTGCTCATTCCCAGATTCTTCTATACCTCTTTTCTACTGAGTCCTAGTTTCCATTGCTTTAACCGAATCAAAGCTTTTCTGGCAACGGCAAAACCAGCGCTATTATAACATTCCTTCTGGCAACACTTTTTCTATTAAACAGAACTAATCTGAAATGCAGAGGGGCTGAACATAAAACTCTGAATAATTTTAAGCCTGTGAGTAAATATCAACCATGTAATCAGGGCAAATGCTATCATTAGGACAACTAGGCAGCAGCCTAGGCCACAGACCCCAGAGGGGCACAGCAGTAAGGGTAAAAGTAAAGGAGCCCTGGACGGTTAAGACCAGTCAAAAGCGATTATGGGGTACAGCGCTCATCTTGCTTTCAGGCCGAGGGAGCCTGCGTTTGTTCACAGACAGCTTTCTGGGTCATGTGGCCAGCATGACTAAACTGCTACTGGCGTACAGAGGACCATGACGAGTGTCAGAGCGCATGGAAATATTGTTTACCTTCCCGCCACAGCCGTATCTATTTATCTACTCGCACTGGCATGCTTTCAAACTGCTAAGTTGGCAGAAGCTGGGACAGAACAATGGGATATCAACTCATCACAGGGATTCAAATCACCAACCTTCTGATCAGCAAGCCCAAGAGGGTAAGTGGTTTAGACCACAGCGCCATCCGTGCTCCTTGTACTGACCTTTGACAGGAACAGCTTTATTAATTTTTCTTTTGTATTTGAGAAAGATAATCAAATATTGCTTTATTACTTATTATTACAATTATTATTTTTTAGCAGCTTCAAGTTTTGTGCTTTTCATTTTCTACAGGACATTTGTTTTTGAAAATTGAAGTTAGCAGGGTTGGTGGGGTGTTACAAGTAGTTAGTTATGTAGTTGTGTAATGTTTTGAAGTTAAGCAGAAAAAATATGAACCATTATTTCAGAGATAATTTCAAAAGAAAAGCTGTTATATCCTGAAAATGCTGCAAAACATAAACATTAACCAAACCAAGTGTTGCTCAGTCACAAACCTATCTAATGTTACTTATCAGTTTGTTTTCCTTGTATGTTTTCTATTGAGGCTGGTGTATTTATTGAGGCTATGCATTTATTCATTGTTAACTTTTTATGATTCTTGTTTTAACAAACTTGGTGGCAGGCAGCAATAACACACAAGACTTATTTATTTAACATGAACTAGAATCAACCATGAACTTTTATTTGCTGTCAAACCTGCTATGCTTAGAGCAAGATTTCAATATTCAACTTTTAAAAAAGATAATAGATTGTTTTGGCTGTGTAGATCCAGGATATCAAGACAGCATATTTCTTGAATTAACTTTCTGGCTGTTGCATTTCATTCAAGCAGTATTAATCTGCCAACAAAAAAAAATGTCTTCTTCTTAGATTCTGACACCTGCAAAAGATCTATACTGTCAAATAATCCTAAGTAGTTCTGTTGTGATGTAAGCACATTGCATACCCTATTTCCTTCCTGCTTAGCCAAATCAGGTTGTGTCACCACCTTCTTCTGACCCAGAAGCACAGCAAGTGATCTGCTGCAGCTATGCACACTGACCTCCAGTTCTGGCTCTGAGTAGACATTGTGATGGGAGGTGCTCCCACTATTGCTATACCCTGAAGGAAATATTAAGCACAAGGAACAATATTCCCTGCTATCATCTAGAGAGAAGACCACCCAGATTACAACATGCAAGCACAGGGATCCATATAGATTGCAAACGGCTATCTCAAGCCATTACTAGCATTTTATTGCTACCTAGATGTATAGGCACTAACAACACAAAATATATTTTATATCAAATCATGCAATTAGGGAAGTGCCATCTTATGTTCCCTGAGACTCTTAAGTAAAGCTCTGAAGAGTGGTAATAAGAACCAATCCAGATTTTTTTATACTTTGAAAATTTGTTCTACAAAGCTATTTTAACTTAGTGAGGAAGTGATAAATAAAGTGATCTGCAAGGGGCTACACCATTACAATGACTTAAGAGCACCTTCCAGATGTTCTATAAAAATAATAACAATGGAAATTGGCTATCAAGCTTCAACAGATTTTAGGATAATGGGTATATGTTTTCATCCACTTTCTTTTTGATCAAAAATGTGTTGATGATTTTTGTAGGCAGTGGGCTCCACATTTTTATTTTTTTTTAAAGCCTCCTACACAAAGAGAAAGAAAAGGAAAGAGAGTGCATCTTGCTAACAGAACTATGTCCCAGCTGGTCCTAATCTTTCAGCTTCTATAAATATACTCATCAGAATGGGTTGGATGAGATATGATTTTTACAATTAAGAGGAAAGTCAGCAAGAGATGTCACCTGAGGAGGAGATGTGGCTTGGCTTCAGGTCTCAGGTGCCAGATAGAGGGCTGTATTTAGTTTCTCACTCCTGGTTTAGAAGGACCCAACACACGTCAGAAAAAATATTGGTTAACAAAACTTCAAGGGTACTGCTGCAGGAGACATGGTTTAACCACAGAGTGCTAGCCCAATTTGGAGCTATTTGCTTTTCCAAATTAATTGACAGGCAGCAGTCTTAGGTGTCTTATACATGCCTCATGCCAGCCTAATTTATGCTATGTAAGGGTTGTACAGAGACATTGTGGTTGGGATGCCTTTTCCTCCCTCCTCCTCCTCCCTGCTGTTGCCTCACTACTGCTGCACCCCTTTGTCACCACCTCCAATACAGTACCATTCTCACCCATCAATGTTGCATACTGAGGAAGGAAGGCAATGTGGCTCAGCTGGCTGTGTCTGCACCATTTTGTTGTAATTGTAGCAAACAATCAGTCTAGCAAGAGGAGGTGAGAGGAAAAGGCAGTGGAGGGGCAGAGGTGGCAACTGTGAGCTGCCTCAGTATAATGGCTGCTTCAATACCGCTTAACATTCAGAACAATCTTTTAAAAAACAGATTAGATCTGGTTCAGGTTCATGGAAAATATACCTCCCATCAGCAATTATGCCACAGCATTCTGTACTAACTGCAGTTCATGGATCAATTACAAGAAAAGCCCCAGATACAATGTACTGCCGTAATCCAGTCTTTAAGTTACCAATGCATGGACTATTGTGAGCAAGCTATCCCCACCTGGTAATGGCTGCTGTTGTACCAGCAGAAGCTGATTAAAGGCACATATTCTTTTAAGAGCCAAAAGGTTGCTACAAAAAAGTGGTGAGTTGAAAGAGCTTTTTTATCTTCTTTGAATTACTTCCAAGTATGACTCGATAAATTTCTAGAAACCTGTCTGAGACATCAGGTTGTGGGCAAATTAAAAAATGGTGCAAATTATGTGCCTTTAGGAAAAGTAGTTCAGAGCCTTACATGGTTAACTCAAAAAGCCCACCAAGCTGGTGTAAAATACTACTTTGAGATGTATGAGAAGTGTCAAAGAGCATTATTTCTGCTCTACAAAATGATGAACAAGCAGTTCCTACAATAAACCTCAAACACAGGAGAGACTGTGAGAAAGAACACAAATGAAGCGTGCAGGGAAGCTATATTAGGAGGTGTATTTTGGAATTAAGAGGTACATCCTGGAGTGTCCTAGCATAATGAATCAAAATCAACTGAAGAGCCTAGCAACTGTCATCCAAAAGAAACTGGAGGCATCAAATTTCAAGGCTGCATAGCAAATTAAACTCTTCAGCTACAGACATTAATCTCATTGGGTCAGTGTTCTTTGAACATTGCAAAATAATGCCCATGATCTATAGCCAATTTGTTTTAGAAGAAAAGGTACACCAGTACATGACACATGGGAGGGTTTGTCTGCTTTGCTATTAATTGTACAAACACGTCAAATAGGTTGAAACTCTGAAGCATCTGCAAATGTGAGTGGTATTTTTCCTTTATTAGGGCAGGTGGCTACATACCACAGAACATTTATCTAATTCCGATCTATTTCAGAGCAAAATATCCCTATTTCTGGTACATCTCAGGGAAGTGCCTTAAAATGTTTCTACAATGGTTAAGAGAAATATGTGTTTAGTTCAAATACTTTAGCATCACAAATTGAGGTTCAACTAGATAGGGTCAACTTTGGATCTTCAGAATGTAGGAATAGTCTGAGACTGTGTGGGACTATTCTAGTTCTGAAATAGTCCTGGGAAACATGAGCAAGGGACTGGGGGTGAGGAAAGCCTTTCCGCCATTAGCTGGTATTACCCAATCTGGCTTTTACTGATTCCACACCTATTGCATCATTTATAATTATTTTCCAGTTTTGTTAATATAAGAATTCCCACTTGCTTTCTTTACTTTTGCTCATTGCCTTCAACAAGTGCCAGAGATAAACAACTGAACAGGGTTCTTTTTTTCTCATCTACAATGCTCAGTTTAAGTGTTGAGGATTTTGGGACTGGTCAGATGAGGATAGAGCCATCAAAAAAGGTGAAGAAATACTCCAACTGAATAGTTGCAGTTATTGAGCGGTTGCTAGGGAGTTGAGTGCTGATAACCTATTGAAGGCATCCTCAGTCTCTTTCCAAACCTGCAGTTTTCAGCTAACTCTGAAGTACTTTTCGAATGAAAAAACCTATAACAGCTAGACTGATCCTCCCTCCCCTGGCAGTAGCTACTGATCTGAGTAACTGTGGTGACTTTTGTTCCTCACCTTATATTTTCAACATTTTAATATAGTAATATATTTTTATATTATTCTAATTTAATGTTTATATTGCTGTTGGCAGATTTGAGAGGAACCTATCTGCAAAAGCAGCTTATTTTTTATTTTTTTAAAAAAGTAAATAAAATTGTGGGTATGATTGTCAATAGCCAATAATATTCTGTTTCTGATTTGATTTCATTCTGATGTAAAATCATCTCTCCATGTTTATTTCTTAATATTGAAGATGATGTAAAGAACCTCTGTACTTCACTCACAGGTTTTTTATTTTATCTTCATTTATTTGTACATCTTTCTGATCTATATTCTCAAAAATCAATAAACATATTTTTTTTAAAG